TTTTCTGGGGACTTGCTTCACATGGGGTTTAACACTGGCCCCAAAGATTAATTTTGCTCATTAACTCCACAATGTCAGACTGACAATTTACAGATTTTTAGGGAGCATATGTAAGGTGAAAGGGACCAGGTGCTAAAAAACACCCACACAAACTAGAAAGTGGCCTGAAGGTTGAAGGGTGAGGGTAGAGAGGCAAAGCACTGAGAGGGACCTGTACAATCTTCCTGCCTTGATGACTTTTTCAGCACAGGTACACCTCAGGGCAACATGCAACTGCAGATCACAGATGCAGAGGCTGGCTCCAGTGTGACTGAGAAGACGTGAACCTGGTCCTGGAGAGGAAAGACTGCTCCCAGTACACGGTATCTCAGCACAGATTAGGGGAGTGGGGATTTTCTTCTTCTCAGGTGTTAACACTAGCCTGTCTTCCCAGTTGGGTCAGTGACCTCTCGATAGATCCTGGAACCAGTATTATTAACATCCTGTGTTCCAAAGCAAGACTTCAGAATGCATTTTCTCATGGCAATACAATTATAAAATAAAATTATAAAACAGTAACCTATCATTTTCCTGGCATATGAGGTCTTCATAAAGTCCTTAGCTTTTTAGATTTACCAATATCATATACAGAAATAACAGAAACAATCTGTAAACAACTTTGAAATGCCAATTTATTAAAGTATGACAACTATGTATTATGTACTAGTACATATGTTCTTATTATAGATGTAGACATAAAGGAAAACTGGCTATCAGAGAAAACAAATTGCATCTGATGGCTAATAGAACCAAAGTCCCATGTCAGGAGTAGAAATTAAACTTGACTTTAAAATCATTTTACAAATTGTTTCTATTTTGCCCATAAATTCAACTTGTTAAAAAAAACTCTACACCAGGACTTTATGAATCCTTTCCTCCAAGATACAATATGGTTTAACTTTTGTGGACTGGTTTAGAACCTAAAGACCATTTACAACAGTGTTTTGAGTCATTAACAAAAGTAACTTATAAATGCACTTTAGAGCACAACCTCTTTGAAAGCTGGGGACCGCCTATATCTAAAAAATAAATCTTCATTAACAATATCCTGAAAAAGTGCCTTCAATGCTGCTACTGAACATGCTGGAGGCAATGTTTTTCTGTGATTATATTTTTCACCAGCTATTATGATGAAAAATTATCTATTAGAGTCTGTGGAACTAGCTAGCAATAAGTTACATATTGATTTTGCACTAAAAATTGTTTCTTGGGCTTTGATTAGATGGGACAATTCTAAGGTTTTTCTAACATTTATCACTGTTACTTGGGCCCTGAGCTTTTATATTAAAATGGTACATGAAATATTTCAATATTACGCATATTCCTGGAATAATTAAAATGTATAGTGATCACAAGACTAGGCACATAATACATCTCAAAAGATACACAATTCAAAATAGAGAAAACATTCACATCTTCAATCACATAATTTCTGGAAGACAATCAAGAAACTTCCTGGCTTGAATTCTTTCTCCCTTACAGGAAAGGTCTAAGGAGGTTTCTTTCTTTCTTTTTCAATTTTGTGTGCATATTAGGGGCAGGTGATACCTGTGTACCAAAGTGGTTACAAAGCATTATTCTCCCTTCAAGTAACATCCAGTAACAAAGATCTGATTTCATTTCCTCAAAATGGTTGACGGAAATAAACTTTTGTCACTGAAGAACCTTTAGGACACAAACATAAAGTCACAGAAAGGGCAATCTCAGTACGTCTCCTATGAATGACATTTTAAGCAAGGTATTTGAGGGGTTTTACTTTCCCTTTTCAATTTTTCTATCCCTATCTCATTCTACAAAGTAGAAACAAAGTAACTCAATAAATGGTATTGAGTAACCAGTAATACTCAATGGAACTAAAAACACCATCTTTTATGCAAAGAGTGTAAATGGCAATACAGAAAAATATCACAAATTTACATAAATAGAAGCTGAGGCATGAGAAACAACAGTAAGTTATTTCCCTGTAAAGCAGGTTAAATAGTGAGATAAGGGACATTTGACTTCCAGTCCCTTAAACTAGGGAGGACACATTGCTGGACAGTCTGAATGTCTACCTATATTCCTACTGAATTAATGAGGATCAATAAAGGAATGAAGGGGAAATACAAAATAATCTTTTTGTAAACAAGATATACCCAATGGAGAATGTTTAATGAAGCACTTGAGTCACAGCTCTTAAGACACATAACAATGTTATAACTCAAAGTCAAATATGTACTCATTGGCCAGATATATTCGTCGAAATATAAGAGCTGCCAATGCCAAAGTCAGGATGACAATCAGTACAGCTGATCCACCATTATCAGTATGGTTGTCTCTTGGCTGCTGGCCCTGGATTATATCTGGTGAAGTCGATGCCCTTCTTTGACTCTGCTGCTGGGCCCGACGCTGTCGAGGGCTCACAGAGGTATTCTTAGCTACAGGCTGGGTAGGTTGCTGAAAGGATGCTGCTGAGGGGTTCTGTACTCCATGCTAGAAAATTTTAAGAAATTTTGTTTGAAATTCTCAAAGAAAATCTGTATATATACTAGTACAAGAACACACAGAATCAAAAAAATAAATAAATACGGAATCTCAAGAGCACTAAATATGGCTAAGGAAACAACTACCAAGATCTGAGTACTGAGACTCATAACCCAGGAACAATCTGCTCATTGAAGAGACCATGCAGGCACAGCTGTAGCATTTTAAGAGGTGTCCGAAATTCTCACAGGTGTCATACGTGACTTAATAGCTCATTGAATTAAATTGAGTTACAGCTGCCAATTTTGCATCATGCCATTTGAAATCTCCATTCTTCTGACTGATAACCCAACAAGATAAGCATATTTGGCAGAGCAAATGTTCTTAAGGCTTAAAAGGAAATTGGTTCTTAAGGAAAATAAAAAATAGGATGGTGATATTAATCCAGAAACTAGTACAAGCCATTGACTCAACTTACATCTTTTATATTATACATGTAACTTTTTTCCATGGAGGGAGAACATTACCCTATTCATAAACCTGGTCAAAACAGGGGGGAGCCTTATCATTACTAGCCTTGCTTTGCTACTTGTTGATACATAACCCTAAACAAATTTTTTAACGTCTCTAAGACTCAGCTTCCTCATCTGTAATCTTCACTTGTTATGAAGATTAAATGGGATAATGATAAAAAGTGCTTAGGACATTTAAATACTTAGAAAGTATGGTGCAGTGAATTACTTGGTATGGCTTTTCAAGCTATGGTCTTTGTGACTCCCACCAGATTCCTGGGTGGGACCACGCAAATAAGGTATATGGAACTCTGATGTTGGGATTGGTTAGTTTTGTCACTCTGCCAGGCTTAAAATGAGGTCTCCTAGAGGCAGAAGGGGGATCTCACTGCCACCAAGAGGGGAGAGCTGGAGGTGAAGTAGAGTGCGTCCTTACATTCAAGATCCCTGGCGCTGGACCTCCTTGGCAGAGACACCTGGCTGAGATGACCCGATTGAGAAACCAAGAGGCAGAGACAGAGTGGCGGGCTTGCCAGCCCACAGAGCAAGACGAGGAGGCTTGATGGTGGAGTGGGTGTTCCTAGGTTTACCTATCTGCAGAGCTAAAAGAGCTTTGTAACATTTGCCCGAGCAAGGCACAGGCCAGGTCGAGAGGCCAAGGGCCAGAGAGGTGAGCCGAAGGGCATAGCAGAGGGGAGACTGTCCTGGTTGAAAACCTATATCTTGAGTACATTTCCTGAACCTGAATTGTAGCCTGTTACTTCCCTAATAAACTCTATAATCTTGACTCTTGTCTATGAGTTGTGTGTGGCCATTTCAACAAATTATCAAACCCAGCACAGAAGTAGCAATTGCCATGGGAGGGATGGCTGGTGTCAGAGTTAGTAAAAAGGCTGAAGGGTGGCACTATGTCTGGCCTCATAGGAATAATCAATCCTTGGGCCTCATAGGAATAATCCTTGGGATGCTGATGGTGACTATGTCTCCCCCTCTTGAGGTTGGAGGAGGTCAGAGGATGCCGCCTTCATGCACTTTTTGCAGAAAGGCAGGTTTTCAAACCTTTATTAGTGTGATAAATACATTTAGAAAACAATTCCTTAAAACACTGATTTCAGAAGATATTTTTGAACATTCATGTAATGGATCCACAATCAACGCCCATGGAAGGAGCAGTCCAAAAATCAGACAATGTATTGCATTGAGCAAATCTGCAGCAAAAGGCCTCTGTACAGTGTTAAAAAGCAAAGATGTCACTTTGAGAATTAAGGTGAGCCTAATAGGAGCTCTGGTAGCATAGTGGCTAAAGCACTTGACTGCTAACCAGAAGGCTGGCGGTTCAAACCCACCAGCTACTCCTCGGAAGCAAGGTTGGGCAATCCTACTTCTGTAGTGATACTGCCTCGGAAACCCAAGGAGGGGTCGCTATGAATCGGGGCCGACTCGACGGCACATAACAACAACAACAACAACCCAAGCCATGGTATTTTCAGTAGCCTCATATGCATGCAAAAGCTAGACAATGACTAAGGAAGACTGCAGAAGAGTTGATGCCTCTTAGTTATATTGCTGGTGAAGAACACTGAATACACATCGTTCTGGTTACCTAGTGCTGCTCTGACAGGAATATACCACAAATGGGATGGCTTTAACACACAGGAGTTTATTCTTTTAGTTTAGAAGCTTTAAGTCTGAGTTCAAAGTGCCAGGCTCTAGGAGCTGGGTGAAAACCCCTCAATCTTGGGCTTCAGCTCTGCCTCCTGTTCCTGGCCCTGAAGCCAGAAGCTTTTCTTCACTCAGACAGCTGCTGGCTGCTAAGGCTGACAAACTCAAGGTCAACAAATAAAACGGCATAGTCCCAATATTACCAAACTACATGGCAGGCCATTAATTCAAGTCCATTGAAAGTCCCAAGGTCGGCAGAGCATGGCAGGCTGCTGAACAATGACATGGCTACATGCAGGGTTCAAGTGTGCCATAAGCTAGAGACCATTCCCAAAGGCTGCTTCTTATATACAGGAAGCAGACCACAGCCCTAAGGTAGCTACTCAGCTGCTCATAGTAGATTCCACCATGGAGTTGATTAGCAGTCTCATCATTGGAAATACTACATCCAGCTGCCCAGCCACTCAACCAGGCCCAGCCAAGTTGACACACAAACTTAACTACCACACACATGGACTGTCGGAAAAGCAAACAAATCTGTCTTGGAACTAGTACAGACAGAATGCTCCTTAGAAGGGAGGATGGTGAGACTTCATCTCGTGTAATTTGGACATGTTATCAGGAGGGGGCAGTCCCTGGAGAAGGACATCATGCTTGGTAAAGTAGAGGGTCACTGCAAAAGAGAAGACTTTGAGTGAGACTGACTGACACAGTGGCTGCAACAATGGGCTCAAACAGAGCAACAACTGTGAGGATGGCACAGGACTGCTGTGTTTCATGCTGTTATACATGGGGTCGCTAAGAATCAGCTCCATGGCACCTAACACATACACACACACGCACTTAATGAAATATTTGCATAGCTACAATGCTTAATTGGATTCCTGTATTTCAGATACCTTATGAGTAATACATCACTGGCTAAAATCTAATGTTTTGATATGATAAAATTCTAAAATTTTTCCTACTTAAAAGAACCACAGTCAGTAAGTTTGAGTCCCTAGTAATATGTATCAATTTTCTTTTATAAACTAAAATACCCAGCATCTGTGAGAATTTTTTTTTAATACAAAAAGGTATGGGTTATTCAAAACCTCAACGGGAAGATGAAAAAATCTGATAGACTGTAAGAATATAAAACTATCATCAGTATTTTTCCCATTTCTACATAACTAAAAATTCTGCATCAAAAAGCAGCAGATGGCCTGATGTTATCTGTATTTAGACTTTTGCCAATCTCTTTCCCCGTCAAGGCTGAAAAAACAAAAAACTGTAGCTTATCTGGGATTTGATGCAAAACATCTTGGTGTATCTATATTACCTTTACATGTAAAACAGCCACCCCTAGTCAAACTCAGGTTTCAATTACTTTAGGAGTAGTCAAATTACATAATCAGGCTCTGAGATTATTTATATGTAAATATAACTATAAGTTTAACTTGCAATTGTAGACAATTTATTGCTTGTCAATGTTTTAACCAAAATTGGTCTTGATTAATGATGTATAGTCTATGAAAATAATTCTAAGTTTTATGTACTTTAAAATCAAAATAGAAAATACTACAATAATGACATTTTTTATTATTATACATGTTAATTAAACTTCTTGGTTTCATTACTAGTATTACTAATACTGTTTTTAAAGTGCCAATCCTAAGATTCATTCAGTCTGTCAACAAGTATGTATTGATCATCTACTATGTACTAAGTGAGGCACTAGGGATAGAGTGGAAAAGTACAAAGAAAGCCCTGATCCTCACGGAACTTACCTTCTGGAAGTGAAATTGGCAAAAAATAATAAATTACAACTGGCATAAGTATAAACTGGAATATATAACAGGGGGACTTGATATAGTGAGATTTAAATTACACTAAAGACATTTAAATTCATCATAATATTAAGACAGTGCCCTAAAAGGTGAGAAAAGATTACCACTCTCCTTTGTAATAAGATGGTTCTATTCTTCTTTTTAAAAAAGTATTAAATAAATAATTAGGATGCTAAATTTGGAAACTCAATAAAGATAATTCAACTTTAAATTTAATTCACTGTATTCCCTACAATTGATAAAACTACATTTGGATCATGTAAAAACAATTTAAACTCATCAGTATATACTTTTTTCTTGTACCTCTGTCTCCACTGTCCTCCTACCACTTCCCTCAGAGCCCCCCTCCTGCTTTTCTCCAACATACTTTTCTCTCTCCATTGAGTAGGAGAGAGCTCCTCAAGACTCTACTGGGGTCCCACTTTAAAGGAGGTTATTCCCGAGTAAAAGGAGCTCTGGTGATGCAGTGGCTAATGCTAAGTTGATAAGCAAAAGGTCAAACCCACCAATCATTCTGCAGGAGAAAGATGTGGCAGTCTGCTTTTATAAAGATCATGGCCTTGGAAACCCTATGGGGCAGTTCAACTCAACAGCAATAGTATTTCTGAGTCAAGGGAAAATTTGTATTTGCCCAGCTTCTATGTCAATTTTCCTGACACTTTAGCATCCTCCATAAACTGGAAGGGAAATAAAAAGATATGGTTCTCAACCAAGCAATTTATCACCAAAAAGACCCCAAAAGACAGTTCATCTTTCTTCCTTTTTCAAAAAAATTTTTATTGTGATTTGGATGAAAATTCATAGAGCAAATTCATTTTCCATATAGCAGTTCATACATAGACAGCTCATCTTTCATATGTAGAAAGTTCTACTTTTCCTTATAATTCTTATTATTTAGCACTGACTCGTTTTTTTAAAATATGTCTCTCTGATGACTTTTCACTCACTGTCATTGAGTTAACTCCAACTCACAGCAATCCCCATTGAGGATTTCCAAGGCTGTAAATCTTTATCGAAGCAGACTGCCTCATCTTTCTTCCATGGACCAGCTGGCACTGACCTTTTGGTTAGCAGCCAAATGCCTTAACCACGACACCACCAGTGTTCCTTTCTGATGACTTAAGACCACCAATTTCTTAATAGGCCAGGATACAACTAAAAACACCCATAGTATTCATTCATTCATTCAATAACTATTTTTTGGGCACTTAAGGAGCTCTAGAGGCATAGTGCCTAAGGCACTTGACTGCTAATCAGAAGGCTGGCAGTTCAAACCTACCAGCCACTCCTGGACGGAAGGTTGGGCAATCTACTTCCATAGAGATACCGCCTCAGAAACTCAAGGAGGTGTCGCTATGACTCGAATTGACTCAACAGCACTGAGTTTGGTTTGGTTTTTGGTTTTCCTATGGTTAAGCCAGCTTAGAACATTCTGCAACGATAGAAATATTCTACTTTTCTGCTGTCTAATATGGTAGCCACTAGCCACATATGGCTATGGAGCATTTGAAATATAGTTAATGTGAATTTTTTATTTAGTTTCATTTAGATTTAGATAGCTACATGTGGCTGGTGGTTACTCATTAAACAGAGCTGATCTGAAAGATCTGCAACTTTCAATAGGCCTTTATTAAATCATTGTATTTTGATGCAGTTTAACAAAGCTGTCAAAGATGGTGTCTATTTAGGAAGTGACTAACATGCGTATTTTATTTTATTTGGAGTACAGCATTATATTGAAACTAACTTTTCAAAGAATCACCGAATTCTGGAGGGGTAATGGGACTTCTTAAAATTATTTACCCCAGCCCCATTTAATAGGGGGAAAAAAAAACACAAAGAGGCCCAGGAAGGATAAATAACTTGCTCAAGAAAACACAATTTACTAGAAGCCATCTGTTAGGAGAACCAAAATTTTCAAATATTTGATCTAGGGATCTTCTCTTATGCCAAATAATGACAATAATATAGATACACAGACACACGCACATATATAAAAAGGACAAGAGCCATACCGATGTACTGGCAGAAGCAGCCTGGAATGTTGTAGATATATCATCTTGTAAATCATTTAGTGAAAAAGAATGGTTTAAGTCTGACTCAGCAATAGTCTTTCCAGATGAATTGACTTCTGCCTATAAAAAAGACACACCCAAGAACAGTGTTACCAAAAGGAATAGTACAAAACAACCCATAATCTATTAAGTTTCTTCTCTTAGATTTATTTTAATTGTTAGTTTACTATCTATTACCAATCAGTAAAGCACTGAGCACTCCTACATCCCATGACAGCTATCCTAGGAAAAGGACAGCCAATCCCTGTTCTGAAAGAGCTGTTCCTGGAGAGTCAACACCAATACCCATAGTTCACAAGCCACATTCCAAAATCCAAAAATCACTTACAACTAAAAATTATTTTGTAATTTTTCAGACAAAGCCCAACATTAACTGATATAATGCTAATGACAGTCTTTATCCTATGTTAGTGTACATATTCCCAGGTCAACTGAGAAAATATCAATGTGGTTTGATATTACTGTCATAGTAGTCAAAGAACATAATCCCACTACAGGTGTCACTAGATGGTATCCAAACCAAACGCAACCCCTTGCTATTAAGTCAATTCTAATTCACAGCAACCCTATAGGACAGAGTAGAATTGCCCCAAAAGGTTTTCAAGGAATCTTTATGGAAGCAACTGCCTCTTTTTTCTTCCATGGAGCAGCTGGAGGGTTTGAACTGCTGACCTTTCTTTTGGTTAGCAGCCAAGCACTTAACCACTGTGCCACCAGGGTTCACTGAAGGGCATATGTACCACATTTTCTAAAATACAAAAAAAATCTGATGTACAAAATACATCTAGAATCAGTATTTTAAGATAAGCAATTGAAGTGCTAGAAGGAACCTTAGAAGTGAAGATGGTGAGACTTCATCTCTCAATACCTTAGTCATATTATCAAGATGGACCAGTCCCTAGAGAAGGATATCAAGCTTGGTCAAGTAGAGGGTCAGTGAAAAAGATGAAAACTCAACAAGGTGGACTGACACGTGGCTGAAACAACGGGCTCAAGCACAGCAATGATTGTGAGGATGGAGCAGGACTAGGTGGTGTTTGATTCTGCTGTATACAGAGTCACTGTGAGTCAGAACAGACTAGATGACACCTAACAACAATAATCTTTACATACAATAGGAGTTTTCAGAAAGAAGAAAGTAGCCCATATCTATTGAGCACCTCTTCTTCTGGCCACTAAAATAAAAGAGAAGGAAAAACTTCTTCCAAGAACAGGACCCAGAGGGACACTGTATTCCATAGTCCAGTTTTTAACCACTGTGCCATAATAGCTTTCTGAACATATATTATTACTCTTTAATAAAAGTTATTTTAAAAAACCTTATTACAATAGAGCTATACAGCTTTCCTTTCTATGTAATTACAATTTGTTTATGAATTTATAATACCTTAAAACTGATTTGTCTAGCCAGTTCCTTGGCCTCTATGTCAGCCTGGCTTGAATCACTTCCAGATTTTAAAGGCAACAGGACATCCTTCATGGTGGAGCCACATCCCTCACAACAGAAATCTTGTGACCTGGTAGGAAATAAATCAAACAGCTGAATGCTAATTCCTTCTTCCAGAGACACTCAGATACTGAATAAATGACATTGGACAATCCCACATCACACTTACCCATGTTTTAAGTTAGAAAATTGAGGCAATAATTACAGTTCGGAGACAAATAGTGAGGCTGGTGTGGAAAAACAAAATCTAAGGCTTAGATTCCAATTTTTTCCCCCTGATAAACTAGTTAAAAGAAAATAACCTTTAGATCTACACAACGACAAAATATATATATAAACTGTCTATAACAATGTTCTCAAGATCATACATAACGAGCCTATTTTAAGTCAGTGTGAAAAACTCCATTAACAAACTCAATTATCTTTGTTTTATCAGGAATATACATAAAGCTGTAACAAAGCCAGTTAAAAATAGAATTTACTTAAGAATTAAAACTGTTAGAGTAATGCTTTGGAACCTAGTTTTTAATAATGGACATTTAGACATGACAATGGATTTTTAGATATGAACAAAAGACAAATAGATAAATTAGACCTCATCAAAAATGTAAAATTTTTCCAAGTTTTTAATCAAAGGACATTATCAACAGTGTGAAGACAAAACCTATAGAAAGGGAGAAAATATTTGAGAAGCATATATCTTGTAAAGGTTTAATATACAGAATATTATAAGGAATTCCTACAACTCAACAACAGAAAGACAAACAATCCAAATAAAAAATGGGCAAAGGACTTGAATTGGCATTTCATCAAAGAGGAGATAAAAATGGTCACTAAGCACATGAAAAGCTCTCAGCATCACTAGTTACTGTTGTTAGACACTGTCGAGTCAGTGCAGATTCACAATAGAACAAAACGCTGCCTCGTCCTGTGCCATCCTCACAGTCACTGCCACGCTGGAGCTCATGGTTGCAGCCACTGTGCCAACTCATCTCATTGAGGGGCTTCCTCTTTTTCACTGATCCTCTACTTTACCAAGCATGATGTCTTTCTCCAGGGACTGGTCGTGCCAGTCCCTTATGTCCAAAATACATAAGACGAAGTGTTGCCATCCTTGCTTTTAAGAAGCATTCTGCCTGTACTTCTTCAAAGACAGATTTGTCTGTTGTTCACTAGTTATTAGGAAAATGCAAATCAAAACCATAATGAGATAGCACCTCACCCCACTGTTGTTGTTGTTGTTGTTGTTGTTACGTGCCATCAAGTAGGCCCCAACTCATAGTGACCCCTCCTTGGGTTTCCGAGGCAGCATTACTACGGAAGTAGATTGCCCAACCTTCCTTCGGAGGAGTGGCTGGTGGGATTGAACCACCAACCCGTTAGCAGTCAAGTGCCTTAGGCACTATGCTACCAGAGCTCCCCCACCTCACTGGGATGCCTCAAAAAAACCAAACTCACTGCCATTGAGTAGATGATGACTCATAGTAACACCTATAGGGTTTCCAAGGCTGTAAATCTTTAAGGAAGCAGACTGCCTCATCTTTCTTCCACAGAGTTGCTGGTGGGTTTGAACTAGTGACCTTTTGTTTAGCAGCCAAATGCCTTAACCACTGCACTACCAGAGTGCCTCTTACTGGGATGGCTAATGTCTTAGTTACCCGGTGCTGCTATAACAGAAACACCACAAGCAGATGGCTTTAACAAACAAATTTATTTTTTCACAGCTTCAGAGACTACAATTCTGAATTCTAGGCACTAGATGTAGGGGAAGCCTTTCTCTCTGTCAGATCTGAAGAAAGGTCCTTCTATCTCCTGTACTTCTGCTCCTAAGCAATCTTCACAGGCCTGGCATCCCTCTTCCCTTACCTCTGCTTCTTAGCGTGCTTGATTAATCTTTTCTATCTCAAAAAGGACTGAGTCAAGACACACCCTACACACTGATCCTACCTCCTTAAACATAACAAAGACAATCCATTCCCAAATGGGATTATAACCACAGGCACAGAGGTTAGGATTTGCAACACATATTCTGGGGGGATATAATTCAGAAAAACAGAAAATAACAAGTACTGACAAGGATGAAGAGAAAATGAAACCCACATCTATTGCTGGTAGAATTGTAAAATGGTACAGCTTCTGTGGAAAACAGTATGGTTGTTCCCCAAAATGTTAAACATAAAATTACCTTATGACTTGGCAATTCCACACTTAGGTATATACCCACAAAAGACTTGAAAGCAAAGACTGAAACAGATCTGTGTATACCAATATTCATCACATCATTATTCACAATTGCCAAAAGTCAAAAACAACCCAAGCATCTATCAACAGATGAATGGATAAATAAAATGTGTTTACACATACAAAGAAATATCATTCAGTCATAAAGAGATATAAAGTTCTGGTACATGCTATGTCATGCATGAACCTTGAAAACATTATAATAAGTGAAATAAGTAGATACAAAAGAACAAACACTGTATGGTCCCACTTCTATGAAGTATCTAGAATAAGCAAACATATGGAGACCAAAGTTCATGAGTGCTTACCAGAGGCAGGTGAAAGGGGGAAATGGGAAGGTATTGCTTAAAAAACAAAAAACAAACCCACTGCCATTGAGTCAATTCTGACTCAAAGTGATCCCACTGGGTTTCCAAGGCGGTAAATCTTTACAGAAGCAGATTGTCTCTTCATTCCACAGAGGGGCTGGTGGGTTTGGACAGCCAGTCTTCTGGGTAGCAGTCTGAAGCGTTAGGCACTATGCCACCAGAGCTCCTTGGTATTGCTTAAGGGGTAGTGAATTTCCGTTAGGGTTGATGAAAAAACTATGAAACCTATACTGGTGATGGCTATACAATATGGTGAGTATAATTAATGTCACTGAATTATACGTGTAAAAATGGTTGAAATACCAAATGCTGTGTTATCTATCATATTAAGTAGATTAAGGAAAAAAAAAAAACCATTAACTATTTCCCAAGATTTGTTTATCCACCTTTTAATTTTCCCCCTTTGTATTATACATAGCCAAAACTGCCCCTAAAGCAGAGGAGGAGGAAACAGAATGTTATTTTGCTTCCATGAACAACTGTTTCCCTTGCCATGAGATCAGAAGAATTGGACTAGATGGTACCCAGCCACCATTACTGAACATTTTGATCAAAGATTCTATAGACACATGCTAGTCAAAGGTGGGGGGAGGGGGAAAACGTGGAATAAACTTTTAAAAATTCTCACGGAATCCAGACTTTCTGGAGCCAATGAGGCTAGATGAACTGCCAGAATTTTTGTTGTGAGATGATTTTAAAACATTAAACTAAAAATATTCCCTGAACTCTCCTTTAAACAGAAACAAAAGTTTAGCTTAATTAGTGAAGAATGCCTGCCTTGAACAATGTTTCTACAAGTGTATTGGTATGTTCTGTAAGAATTCCCAGGTATATAGTAGAGCTGACAAGGGACAAAGTTGTAGTCACTGCTTGGTCACAGCCAGTTACCCAGAGGGAGCAAGCAGTTGGACCTGTGGGCTCGGGAGCATAGTCGCAGGGGACATCAAGCTCAATTGGTATAACATACTACACAAAACATTGTTCTACCTCCTACTTTGGCAAGTAGCAACTGGGATCTTAAAAGCTTGCAAGCTGCCATCTAGATGCATCGATGGGTCTCGCCTCATCCAGAGCAAAGAATGAAGAAAAACAAAGATTCATGGAAACAATTAGTCCAAGCGACTGGTATACCATGCAATCCTCAGCCTATACAACTATGAGACCAGAAGAGCTAGATGGTCCCCGGCTACCAATGTCAACCACTTAGAGGGGGATCTATGTAGGAGATCCTGGATAGAGAGAGAGAACAATGCACAACAAAACTCAAAATAATTTAAAAAAAAAAAAAAAAAAGACCAGATTTGCTGGTCTGATAGAGCCTGGTGGAACCACTGAGACTATGGCCCCTAGCTGCCTTCATATCTGGAATTGAACCCACTCCTGTGGCTTCCAGCCAAACAAAAAACAGGCATATGAGATGAATATTTACATTAGGTAGATACACTCCTTGCAGAAATCAATCATGGGAGAACAGAAGGGCTGGGTACGTACAGGGAGACAGCTCAGGCAGCAAGAGTGCATGGAGGGAAGGACACAGGGAAGAGGTAATTACATGGAAGAAGTGGGAAGGGAGCTGTTGCACTGTGGTAAATTGTAGTCAATGTCATGAGACAAAGTGTATGTGAGCTGCTGTATAGAAAGTGAATTTGCTCTGTAAACTTTCACCCAAATCACAACTAAAAAAAAAAGAAAAAGAATGTCTGCCTTGAGCACTGTGCTCTTTTAAAAAGAATCATATGGGATCAAATTTACAACTGTAACCTTCAATATTAAATAGGAAACTTAGAGGAGAAAGCAAGATTATATTAATGGGGGAGGAACAATTCAGAAAAGCAGGATGAGAACGGCTGCATTAACTTGAAAAATGTAATCAATGCCACTAAATTGTACATACAGAAACTGCTGAATTGTTATGTTTACTGTTTATTATATATTCAGCAACAATTAAAAAAAAAAAAAAATCTGGCCTAAAGCTGTGATGTTGTATGAGTAAAGGTAAGTATAAATATAGAAATATATATTGTTAAACTGCTAAACTTTTTTTTATCATACTTCTAGTCCAATAAAATTCAAAAGCCTTAGGTAGGTCTTAAAGAATATGCTATTTAAATTTATAAAATAGCATCAAATAAACAAAAAAACCCCATAAAAGCAGCATTTTTTTTAATAGTGCTTTGGGTACAAATTTACAAAGCAAACTTGTTTTACATTCAATAGTTCATGTATAACTGGTTTCATGGCCCTGATTACCATCCCCAGCCGTAAAAAACTCTCCTCCCCTCTCCTGCCTATGAACACCCCTCCCTGGGCCCCTCTCACCCATGGATTCCTGTCAAAAGCAGCATTAATTAATATTTATTACTGAATATTTATTTCTCCAGAAGCAAGCACTGCTTTCTATATCCCTTTGAGAATCAGCTGTATCTAAATTATTTGCCTCAAAATGGGTCCCCTTTTAACTAAGAAGTCAGATGAAACATAAAACCAAGTGTTATTTCCCAGCCATCCATTACTAGGTATATACCCTAAAGAAGTGAGAGCCATAACAAGAACAGATATATGCACGCCGATGTTCATCGCAGCACTATTTACAAT